AAATAGCTTTTTGGCAAGTTTTAATATATATTACTTTTAAAAAATAAATCGTCCCGCGATATATCGCGGGTTAAAATCTAGTACACCTATAAGGCTACAAGTGTTCACCAGCAGCTACACATAACATGAAATTGCTGATATTTTTCATTGGTCGCCGCCCATAGGCATGTATATTCGGGGCTCGACCGTGATGGCGTGATCCGATCCTACCTTTACTTGATCTATATCTTCCAACTTTTCTAAATAGTTATGAAACGCTAATTATCTTTACTATTACAACTACTTTTTTTGTGATATAACTATAAATATCATTAAAACTGAAAAGTTTAGGGATTACAAAATGTAACACCTATAACTTTTTAAGTCAAAAAACAATAAAAATACAATGCTACAAATATTTACGAAGACACGAAAGTGAAATCACCTAATCCAAAGTTGCATTAAATTTCTAAAATGCTTCATTTGTCTTCGAGGACTGATTACAGTTATGATATCTTTATCCATCAGCTCAAAAGTGGTATGGTGAGACGAGACTGTGAGATTGTGAAGAACATTATTCCACTGCTTCCAAATGTGATAAATTGTAGTTTGAGATGTTCGAACTACCCATTTAAATAATAAATAATAAATTCTTTAAAACTACTCAAATCCGAATTTTACTCGTTTAATAAATTATCCTATTTTAATAACAAATTACCATCATCATATCTCTTATTTGCATTTCACAAACATTATTTTTTAATTCTAAAATCTATATACTTTTACCAGCTTGGTATCCGATATTATCCTATTTTTGGCTTGTTCACCCAAATGTACAATCTGCAACTTTAGAAAAGAAATTAGGTTTAAAGATGATATTCATGAAAGAAAATCTCATATGTGACCAAAGAAAACAATTTAAGAAAATCTTAGATTATGACTTTAGAAAGATGATATTGTTTCTTTTCTGACAAAAAACCAAAAGAGATGATTTTATTAAATAACAGTTGAAACTCCAAGAGAAAAAGGGCAAGTGAACCAATGAATGTTTTGAAGCAAAGTGACAAATGGAGAAGAACCCGAAAAGCAATGTAAAGTTTGACTCTTGAGTTCTCCCACGTCGAACCATGTCCGTTCTCCGATAAAAAAAAAGAGTAAGTTTCATTACAGTTATTCGAATAATTTTAATTCAAATCCTAATGTATTTGATATTAATATTCATTTTTTTCCCAAGAAAACAAAAAACTTTATTCTCTTCTTCCTTTTGGACATCTTAAGCACAAGGCAAAAAAACATTCAAATCAGAAAGAAAAAAAAGAAGAGAAAAATTACAAAATTGAATGAGAAAGCGAAATGTCACATATATATAAAGAAGAGTTGTGTAAGAGTGAAATAATTTCCCATCCACAAATCTCGCACCTGATTCCATAAATTGATCAGTTTTTCTTTCTTTCTTTCAACGCATATCTAGTGACTCTGTAACACTTTCTATGTCCGAATTCGTCTTCTCCAATAGTAAGAGATTTTGACAATTTTCTTGGGGGAGAAAAAAATCATAAAAACACTAATCATGTGTACCCTTGAAGACGTTTTGTGTACTATTACTTTAACGCGTTGAAATTAACGATGATGGGAATTGTTACGACGAAGACGAAGACTTATACAACTACTAACTTCGATTTCTCCAATAAAGGTTTTGGTGTTGGTGGTTTGAAACAGTTTGTGTACGGAAACACTTTCATTGTTCTCGATGCTTTCTGGGTTTCTTTCTCTAATCTCTTCAGGTAAACTTTTTTGCTTCTTTATTATTCTTTGTTCTTCTCTGTTTTTTTGAGTTCTTATTGGTTAATGGGTTTGTTTTATTTAGAGTTAATTCAGACAGAGAGACAAGCTTGGTCTTGTTCGAGAAACAGAACACAAAAGATTCCTCTGTTTTTGGAGATCATCAAGATCAAAAGCAAATTTGTGGTACACAAGACGATGATCAGATGGAAAGTTCTCTGGTTTCGATTAGCAAGAGATGCGAGTTTTATTCCGACAACAAAAGTATCGTTGGTTTTGTAGAAGAACCTAAAGCGTTTAGTTTTAGGTTTCATGAGTATTCTGCTATTACTGTTCAGGAGGAGGAGAAGAAGAAGATGGTCTCTGATGAAAACACGAGTTCCATGGTTTTGGAGAAATCAGAATCAGATGGTTTTATGAAGGAACACGTGAAAGAAGAGATGTTGGTTTATGAGTTCATGAGCTGTGGTGTTTTAAATGAATCATTAGTTCACGAGAATGTTGTTGGTGGTGAAGACAACTTGTTTGATGATGATGGGTTCATAGAACTAAACCCAAGTTTACAGATTTCAAACTTTCCTTATGGAGAAGAAGAAGAGTTTATGCAGAGAGAAGAAGAGATGAAAATGGGCTTTGATGAACAAGAAGAGGTATATGATGAGTTTGATGATGGTTCAGATTCAGATGATGATGAGTTTGAGCATAGTGATGTGATTGAGAAGTTGAAAACAGAACTAAGGACTGCAAGAACAGGAGGATTGTGCACTATTCTTGAGGAATCAGAGACTCCATTACAAGAGCTGAAACCACTCAAGATTGAACCAAAACCAGATCAACACAAAGACAGAATTGCTGAAATTCACAGGGTTTACAAGAACTACGCGGTTAAAATGCGAAAACTCGATGTCATCGATTCTCAGACAATGCATTCCATCAGTAAGTCAATCTATTCTCAATTCAATTTTCAATCAATGTTGTTAGCAGACTATTACATCATTAGCAATGACGTATCTACAGAGTCTTAAATTTTTGTCTGATTCCAGCTTTTACTTTGATTGTGAGGACATATTGTTGAAGAATGTCTCTTTCCTTCTTAAATGTTGTCTCAACTACTCAAAAGTGTTAGTTGAGTATATAGTTAACATTTTTGGATTTGATTTAACAGGTCTGCTAAAGCTAAAAGATTCATCTAAACTGAGTAGAAACACCGATAAACCGCCTAAATCAAAGTCTCTGCATCAGAATATATGGCCATTCAAGAAACATACGCTTGAATGTGACCCGAGTGAGAGACTTGTGAAAGAAGCAAGCAGAGACTTTGAGACTGTCTATGTAGGCCAAGTTTGCCTCTCGTGGGAGATGCTTCGATGGCAATACGCTAAACTCTTGGAGTTTCATTCTCAGGTTACTCATTATCAATACAATTTAGTAGCTGGAGAGTTTCAACTATTCCAAGTTCTGCTTCAACGGTTTGTGGAGAATGAACCATTTCAGAACTCCTCTAGAGTTGAGACTTACTTAAAGAACCGTCGCCATTTCCATAATTTCCTTCAGATTCCACTTGTTAGAGGTAACAAAACATGTTTTCATTACTCTTTAGTTTATTATACTGAACATTTCTGGCTAATACCATAATGTGCAATGTTTTCAGATGACCGTTCTTCGAAGAAGAAATGTAGATATGAAGGAGAATTCGCGGTAAAGATTGAAATGTTAAGAGAGATTATCCGAGAATCGATGAGTGTATTTTGGGATTTTCTTTGTGCAGACAAAGACGAGTTTACTTCAATGATGAAAGTTTCTCACCAAACTCAAGTCTCTCCACAGGATCCTCTAGACCTTGAGCTCTTGACAGATATCAGAACTCATCTCCAAAAGGTATTTAAAAACTTCAAATTCTTGCTCTCATTTTGTCAGATTGCATCAATGTTTAACAATTCACTCAAGAACCTGTTCTTGGCCTAATGTAGAAAGAGAAGAAGCTAAAGGAAATACAAAGAAGCCAAAGCTGTATAGTGAAGAAGTTAAAGAAGAATGAATCAAAGAGTAGTATTGGTGTGAAGGATGAATTACTAATAGCTCAAATTGAACTGAGACTGGTTTCAAGAGTGATGTACATGTCGAAACTTACTACTGAGAAGTTACATTGGTGTCAGGAGAAACTTGAAAAGATCAGCTTCAACGGTCGGAAGATTCATATGGAACCATATTTCTTGTTGTTACCTTGTTGAGCCATCTCTGCGTATAGATTAGATCATAGATGTTGGAACAATATGGCTTCATCAGATCCAGGAAGATGTCTTTTTGTTGTTGTTCATATCTTCCTGAGAACAATAGTATATCTAATGAATGATATGTGGTAGCTTAGCTTTTTTCTTTCTCCTCTAATCACCACAACATCTGGAATCACCTCGAAAAACATTTTGAGAACTAAAAGTAAAGTTGATTAACATTTGGTACATGAACACAAATCTTCTTGAACGTTGTTGAACTAGTGATTACTGATTAATGAATAATTAAAGAAAAGACAAACATTCGAAAGATGGGCCTTTGGGCCAAGTCATATTTGGATTATTATGATCATAACAAGCCCATAAAATGTCGTCCGTTGATGATCATAAGTCAAGATGTAATCTGAACCGTCCGATCTAGGGCTTTAGGTGTTGAAGTGAAAAAAGACCCTATATAAAGATAATATAGCTTATAAAGTCACTTCTCTGCTCCATCAAGCTGAGGAGGATAAAAACCCTAGGGTGAGTGAGATAGAGAGAAGCGAAAATGGTGCAGCGCCTTGTTTACCGATCACGACACAGTTACGCCACCAAATCCAACCAGCACAGGATCGTCAAAACTCCAGGTCTGTTCTGTTTCTTCAATCTCATATGCTGAAATTCACAAATCTGTATCCATGGATCTATAAGATTTGAAATGTATTGACGTATTGATGATTTGCAGGAGGTAAATTGACGTACCAGACCACTAAGAAGAGAGCTAGTGGACCTAAATGTCCCGTTACCGGCAAGCGTATTCAGGGTGTAAGTATTCTTCAGATTCATATTCTCTCCGATTTGAGTCTAAAGTTACATACTTTGTTTGATTTTGGATTGACCCATTTGATTGTTTTGAGGTTATTGTATTGATTGATGCAAATGTAGTAGTTTAGGTTTGGTTTGTTTGTGCTTATTGACGGTCTTGTGCTGGTTAGATGAATTCAACATCAGTATATAACTTTATCATAAGCTAAATATAGTGCCGCTTTGTCTTTTTCAAGTTTTCTCTGTGGAGTAAGCTTTAATCTTGGTGGCAGAAATAGGTAAATCATCTTGGAAACTTTTCACTAGGTTTAGATTTGTTTGTTTTGCCATCTTGATGGTAAATTGTATTTGTTTTAGATTCTGTATTGTATTGATTTCTTCTTGTGCTTATTGACGGTCTTGTGCTGGTTAAGATTAATCCACACCAGTACATAACTTTATCATAAGCTAAATTTAGTGCCGCCTTGTCTTTTCAAGTTTTCTCCTTTTGTATGTAAGGAATCACTTTTATACTTGGTGGCATAAATCTTCAAACATCTTGTAAATTGTTCATAGTTTGGTTTACAGTAATCTTAAAGTTGATGGAGTTGTTTCAGCCATTTTCCTTCAGCATCTAATTTATATCTCTTTGGTTGTTTAGATTCCTCACTTGAGGCCAACTGAGTACAAGAGGTCACGTTTATCAAGAAACAGGAGGACCGTGAACCGTGCTTATGGTGGGGTTTTGTCTGGTTCTGCTGTTAGGGAAAGGTTCGTTCTTGAGTTCAATTTTGTATTTGCTTTGTGCCTTTGTAACCAAAGACAAATCTTAATGGTTGTTCTTGTGTGTTACAGAATCATTCGTGCTTTCCTTGTGGAGGAGCAAAAGATTGTGAAGAAGGTTTTGAAGCTTCAGAAGGCAAAGGAAAAGGTTGCTCCCAAGTGATCTAGACCCTATTAGTTTTTATGTTTTATGGCTCTGTTCTAGCGATAGTACTGGTTGCAGAGAAAAACATTGTGTACTCATCAAAAAATTTAAGCTTTTTTGTATTGGTTTTGGATCTTTGGCTCTGTCTACAATTCGTTTCGGTTTTCGTTTCTTGTTCATGTTGAGTTCACATTTCACGTTTTCAATTCTTACCCCCGAAACTTCCTATTGGTTACAAATAATTTATACTCTTTTTTTCTCTTTTGAGCCTAAAAATTTAACTTCTGCAATATTTGTTACATGATTGATGATCTATAATAGATGGTTGTTTATTTTAACCCCCACCAAATTTACTAGCGTTCTTTCTTAACATCTCCCAAAGCATATCTTTGCCACGATGGAGTGATACTGATTGATTTGTGCCAAAAACATGATTCGTTTACGAACTTAAGCACTTCAATATCATCACAAACTAAAAGAAAACAGAGAATTCATATTAACTAAGTACTTAGAGACAACAACCTTGTACGTTTATTGGTGATGACTATGAGGATCATCAGAGAACGACAACTTTGGATGATGTAGAGAGTCTTGGAATGGCAAGGAGTTCTTTTAGGATGACAGAATCTTCTTTCTTCACGGAATCATCCAAGCATAGGGTCAGTTTCTTGAGGATGGTTGAATTCTCAAGTAAGTAACTCACTAGTTTCATCTCCATCGCTTCTCCTTTCAATGGCCTTTCTATCTTAACATACTCGAGAGATGATAGGAAGCGCCTAGGTCCCGGCAAAATAATATTTTCTCCCTTCTCCTGATAACTAGCAGATTTCTGCACATACCGAGTGGAAGAAACACAAGTTCAATATATGATAACTTTCACCATTTTGCATCTTTAAGATAAGAAGTTCATAGTTCAATAGACAATCTTACCACGACAAGAGTTTTTAGATTCGGGCAGCTCTCAAGAAAGATTGGCAACATTTCCCACATGTAGCCGTAAAACTCAACACACAAGACAGATAGGTTACGGAATAAGGGTAGTCGTTCACATCTTGAGAAATCATAGATAACCTGTAAGGAAAATAAAAAGTTATCAGGAAAGAATAGAGCTAACACATTCAATCAAATAGCAAATTCCACATTGTAGTGTACCTCAAGAGTACTCGAATAAATGATCATATCTTTAATAATAGAGATCCCGACGAGAAAATTACGTATCATAGTTCTCTTTGGTAGATCATCTGGATTAAACTTATTCTCGGAACTCAAGTTAAACACAACATCGATATCCGCTTTGACAAGCTTACCGGGTTTATTAAGTATAAAACTTGCAACTCGATGATCACTTAGCCTCAAATACTCAAGCTTGGGAGCATCAATTGAAACAACAAGATCTTCAACCACACCCTCATCACTATCCGCAACATGAGTGAACCTCAACAGAGACTCAGACCGCACACGTAAAACTTCAATCTCATCACAAAAAGACCTCTCAATAGTCAAGCTTTCAAGAACCGGGCATTTCGTAATAAGCGTTTCTAACCCCATATCGTCAGCAAACTTAGTTATAATCAGATCCATAACTTTGAGTGAAGGTAAAGAAACAAACTCGGGACTAGCCAAAGTTAATCCACAAAGCTTTAAAGATACCAAACTCTCACAAGTGTAAATGCTTGAAGGTAACTGAACCTCCCAACCCCCATACGAATCATCCAAAACATCGATATGTTGAACTTTACGCGTGACGATAGTGTTGATCCAACGTCCGATAAGAAAAAAGTCAGGGTCATACTCGTCATCACAATCATACTTCAAGATAAATTTTTGTAAGAATGATTCACTGTTGAAATCGAGAAAGCTATCAACAAAACTCAAGAATGTGTTGAACTATTGGAAATCAGTATTGTCTAGGTCTAAACCAGGTACGTGTTTCCAGAGATTTCTCCATCTAGGGGATAAAACACTAGTCTTAACAACATCTTTTGTGGGAAGATTCAAGAGTACCTCACATAGCAAACAATCTGGTAATTTGCTTATCCAATCAACTTCATCAGATCCTTTCGCACGAACACGTTTCTCTCTATCTTCATCCATGAAAAGAAAAAAAATATCGAATCGATAAGAAACCCTCAAAAACTTAGAGAGTATCGAATCGACAGTTGTACAAGAAAAAAACGAGTCTACAGTTAATACGACACCGTTTTATAGTATAAATCGCATTGTATTTGTATAACGGGCCTTATGGGCTTTAGAGAAATAAGAACATAAAAGAAAACGCATTATAATTTGAAACGATGAGTTTGATGAAGAGATCATGTAAACATGTAGTTGTTGAACAACTTTGAGATCTGATGTGGTTGTGTTTCTTGTGGGACAAGCAAAAGGCTTCGCAGGTACTGTTTTATTTAGTCTAGACACTACTAACGAGTAGCAAAGAATTGCTCCATGTGGTAATCAAACATCTGGAGGATTATTAAATCTGTAAGATTTCATCTTGCACTACAGTACTTCTAAGAATATCCAATACTAAAATGTGAATGTGAAGAAATTATAAAACAAAATCAACACAAAATCTTTCAAGAATGGCCTCGTAGATGGATAGATTATAAAAAAAACATGTTTGTTGTAGTAATATTACATGCAAAACAAAAACCGAAAGTAGAACAACAACTCAATAATGTTTATATACAAATCTCAAACTCCAAGCTAAATTCGCTCTTGAGAAGAAACGCAAAACGCAAAAAAACCAGTTCTGTTTCTGATTTTAAAACTACACCTCCAATAACACAAAGTATCATCCATTTCTCCAACCTCAGGGCAGATACATAACATATATCCAAACTCCAAAATCTTAATCGTCTTTGAATTCTTTAGTCGGGCGAGCTTCGAATCCTCCATCTTCTCTTTTCTCAAGCGAGTAAGGCATGTAAGTTCCAAGAATCCGATCCCACATGACAAAGAAAGGCTGAGAGAAATTGTATTTGGTTCCATAGAGCTGATGATGGATATCGTGGTAAGCCGAGTTGTTCTTGAAGACCATATGGAATAAGTTTCCAGGTAGCCAGAGACCGCAATGGTCGTCCACGGTTTTGATCGTGGCGAAAGAGAAGAAGAAGATGGAAGTTCTTGGAGACATACCAGAGACTAGGAAAGATAAGGCGCCTCCAATTGTATCCAAGAGAAGACCTTCCACTGGATGGTTGTATAAAGCTCCATATGCATAAGGGACGATAAGACGGTGGTGTTGAGAGTGGATATGTTTGTATAAGAACTTGTTCTGATGCATATATCGATGCATGAAGTATTGCCATGTGTCGAGGACTATCATGGCAGTCACAAACTGTCTTGCTAGGACCAAGAAGGAAAACTGTTGCGCTTTGTCTGCTTCGGCATCACTTCCCGTCACCTGTATAGACAATGAAGAAGCATATTAGAAGAAGGTTAAAAGCAAAAACTAGTACAAACAGAAAAGAAGATATTCCATGATATTGATGAGTCAATTCTATCAGCGGCATGTCTAAGCAAATCCATACATTACAAGTACTCAGGATCAGACGAATTCAAACCAAGAACCGATGATGCCGCTTCATTCCAGTTCAACAAAAGAACCGATGATGTAGTCATTCCAGTTCAACAAAACAACATTCCAGTTCAACAAAAGAACTTGCTTAAGCTTAAAGATCACAATTAGCAAGGTTTACTATGTTTGTTGGTTTTCTCATCAGATAAGCTGATAAGAACCAGTCCTCTCTGAATCTAACACAAGTAAGGAACAGAGGACCAACGGAGCCTAAGATAGAGTCCTTGGTTGAATTCTAGAGCAGCCTAATAAGGTCTGCCAAGTCTAAACCCTATTGCCAAATCACAGAACAATCCCTATTGATACTTTCCTCTAAAGCTCTTAACTATTGTTAGAACAGTCAATATATGATCCAACTTTAAGATCATTAATACATAACCCATTTCTCTTTATGGGTCGAAAGACAACATCAACCCAAAAAGTTAACCTTTTTAAAAACAAAAATCTTAACCATCCAATTCCACACATAAAAAGTCAGCGTCAGATATCAAAATTCCCCAATATGTTTTACCTAACTTTTCACTTCAATTTCACAAAAGCAAAACAACTCAAAAATGGGAAAAGAGAAAAACGGTACCGTGAACAAAAGGATAGCGACAACAGCTTGAACAACCTGTTGAACAAGAACACCTTTCACAACAGAAGATTTCGATACAAGATTCTTCTCTTCTTCTTCAACCTTTGAATGCAATCTATAACTCTCTAAAGAGGAGAGCGCTACATAAATCCCAGAATACAACCAGTACACCACAATCGGAGCAACAGTACCCAACAATTCATCCGATACAGCA